AGGGGATGATCCAGCTGATGGTACTGCTATACAATTGGGTGTGGAAAAACGAGTATATGCCATGTAGATGGAGGGAAGGAGTGGTTGTGAACCTGTTTAAGAAAGGAGACAAGACTGACCCAGGAAACTACAGGGGGATCACACTGTTGAACACAGTAGGAAAAGTGTTCTGTAAGCTGCTGAACGATAGGATAGTGGGAGTATTGGAGAAGGAACATAGCATTAGTGAGGGCCAGGCAGGTTTCCGCAAGAAGAGGGGGTGCGTAGACCACGTGTTCACGGTAGGGAGAATCATCCAAGGTAGAAAGAGGGCGGGAAAGCCGACGTACTGCTTCTTCCTGGACGTGAAAAAGGCATACGACACCGTATGGAGAAATGGGTTGTGGGAACATCTGTCCAAATACGGGATCAAGGGGAAAATGTGGAGAGTGCTGAAGAAGATGACAGAGTGTACGAAAAGCGCGGTCATGCTAGACGGAGAACTGTCAAAATTCTTCGACATTGAGCAGGGGGTCCCACAAGGTTGCACGCTGTCCCCAACATTGTTCCAGGTGTTCATCAACGATCTGTTGGAAGTCGTAGAGGCAGTCCGGAAGGGAGTAAAAGTAGGGGACACGGAAACGTCGGTTTCAGGAATGCTGTTTGCGGATGATTTTGTCGGTATGTCGGACACCCCTGAGGGACTGCAACTGCAAATTGACGCGGCGAAGAAGTTTACTGATAAGTGGAGATTGTCTGCCAACGTTAAGAAGAGTGCCGTCATGGTATGCAACGAGAACAAGGAGGAACCAGTAGAACATAGATGGAAGTGGGGGATCGAGGAGATTGCAGTAGTGGACCAGTACACATACCTCGGAGTAGAGATCGCAAAAGACTGCTCGTGGAATGCACACATGTCCAAGGTAGCGGAAAAGGGCAAAGCACGAGCAGGGAAGCTGCACCCAATACTCGCAAACCGGCACCTCGATACACGCATCAAATTGACGGTTTTGAAGAGCGTAATCGTACCGCCGCTAGAGTACGCCGGAGAAGTATGGGAAGCAAATACGAAGATAGTGAAAGCACGCGAGGCGGCGCAGATGAAAGCAGCGAATATCATCCTTGGATGCTCCAGGCGCACACGTAATGCAGCCGTCAGGGCAGAATGGGGGATCCAATCCCTACGGTCGGGAAGAGACGCGAGGAAGCTGACCTGGCAGTATCGCATGTGCGGGATGGGAGAGGAGAGGTTGCCGAGAATTGTATGGGAGGCGAAGTGGGCAAACAAAAAGAGGGGTAGACAACCCACGGAATGGGTCAAGGTTGTAGAGGACGTATGGAAGGGGCTCGACATCGACGAAGATGAAACGCTGGAAACGGAGGGTCTACAGGGGTTCAAGGAGAAGATATCTGTTGCTTGTGCCGAGAGAGAAGAACAGAATCTGAGGAAAGAATCCAAGGATAAGGAGGGTCTAGAAGTGTACGAAATGTTCAAGGAAGGAATAGGGATCAAGGAGTACCTACATGGACCAATGGATGCAGGAACCAAGCTTGAGGTCATATTCAGGACCGGGGACATAGGCCTTCGAGAACGTCGACGAAGACAT